AAATTACAAATATATTGAACACAATAAATAATATTCCTAACACTAATCACCTTTAAAGAAGCAATATAACTCGTTGATTCATTACTGAGCGCAAATGAGCTATAAACGGTTAAACCTGACCTCTCGTCACCCAAATCCAAATCCACAGTCTTACAACAAAATAAAACACAAAGCCGAAAGTAAACAGTATACTCCAAACAATTTAAAAAATAAAAACGCAAAGAAATAAATCTCCTGCCCCGTCTTCTAGAGCACCACCATCATCCACATACCCTAACCTTCCCTTTGTCTCATATGCTTCGGTGGACCCAAGAATCGGAGCCCGTCTACTCCCCATTTTTTGGCTTGTACAGAACCATGTTATCCCCAACGAGATTCTCTGTTTACAGAGTTTCCCACATTAATCTGTGTTTTTGCTCCATTGACACTTCCTCAATACTCCCAAACTCCCCATCTTTTGTCGTGCTATTAACTGTGCCCGACGTGGATTCCATCCCATCCTCTCATGCTATATCATCCGACTTGTTGTCCTCTTTGAGATGGAGACCCTGACATGAGCTAGATGACTCGTCTACTAATCATTTATTACCTCATGTAGGACTAGTATTCACCCCATCACCTTAAGGTGCACCCCATAAGTTTTTTCCTGTAGTAAGTTATTCTTATATGTCAACGGACAGAATTTATCAGGATGATCAATAATACCACAAATATAGCAAAAATTGGGTAGCTTTTCATACTTAAATTCCACTCAGTGACCAATCCCTCCTTTCTTGAGGGTTGTACTTTTTTTCAAAGGTTTTTCCACATCCATACATACTCTGACTCGCAGATAAGCTTCCCATTTTTTGTCAAATTGGTTTTCATCATGGCTAATATATTTACCAATAAAATTACTAATTCTTCTAGCGGTGTCTAGGTTCATGAAACTATAAGGAACATTATGAACCTGTACCCAAAATTTAGCCTCATTGAGACTGATCTTAAGCGGAATGTCCTTCGACCTCACCTCTTTTAGAATCAATTGATTTCTTTCAAACTACCATGGGCCACCCTCTAAAACATGTTTCATATCCACAATATGATAGAAAGTAAAGAGATGCCCTTTGTCACCAATTTCTTTAATCGGCACACCTTTTCCTGGCCTCCACAACGAAGCCATAAGCTCTTTTAAAACAGGAAATTTGATCTTCCTATCGGTCAACAGAGCACCCATGATAAGTTTGTATTTCAACACGCATTTGATGCGTGTTTAGATTAAGTTTTGTCATTTTTCCTAATCTATTTGAGTCACAAAGTGTTTACTTGGCTCAAGTCACGGTTTACCAGATTTGGTTTGCATTTGTTGAAAAAATCAGGAATTTAGACCCGACATCGGCGTTTGAGTTTAATTTGAGAAGATTTGGAACGCTTTCGAGAAATGACAAGAAGCATCGGAGGTCCACGGGATGATAAAGGAGCATGTTTTGAAGTCAAGAGAGCCAAAGATCAAGTACGAGAGCAATCCCAGGCGAAAAGGGAAGAAAAACGGCCAAAAAGTCAAGTTAGAAGAAGTGCTCGTCGAGCACTTGACGCCCGCTCGCCAAGTCCTTGACGCCCGCTCGCCAAGCGGGGGTGACAGAATTTCAGAAAATTGGGACAAAAGGTCCCCTCACCACGCACCCTTACCCGCACGCCGAGCGGGATGAATTGGAAGACGCTGGAGAGAGCGCTCGGCGAGCGCATGACAGGCGCATGCCGAGCGGAGGTGATTTAAGCAAAATAATTAAATTCAGTGGTGCGCTCACCGAGCACTCCTTTCCCGCACGCCGAGCGCACAACATGGAGTCCAATTTCGACCCGGATTGATATGTTTTCTATTTAAACACCCCGTAAACCCCATGTTTTAGTTTACGGAGCTTAGAGAGAGGTCTAGGATGAAATTTTGAGTATTTTTTCGCTTTGTTATTCAAGATCTTGTGATTATTTGTAAGTTCCATTTTTTAATTAATGACAAATAATTCTTTTCATCCTAATTCTGTTGTTAATTCAATTATCAATTGTGAGTAGTTTTAATTAGGGATTTGGGATTGATAAAGGGTTTAATCATGATCTAGGGTTAATTTCTTGAGGGATTAATTGCATGATCTTTATTTAATTTGTGTTTGAATAATTTAATTGATGTCTTTTGTAACCTGGAACGGCCGCTAGGATTATAATTGCACATAGAATAAATTAAGAGAGATCTAATTTAGCAATGGTTAGGGAGCCGTACGCTCGCTCGTTTTGTCAATAATTTAGAAACCTGTCATGTGAGAGATCAACTTGGTTCTCTAAATTATTGTACTCTACGCTGCGGAGCGGTAAGAACTTAGTATTGATAAGCGTTTCTCAATTAAATAATTTTCATGTGATTAAGCCCGATCAGTCAGAAATCTGATTACCTCGGAATCAATCATTGTTCCCTATCGTCATTAATTAGAAAGAACACATTTATTTTAATCGCTTTTTCGTAGTATTAATTTTCCAATCTCGCACATCGCATTATTTTATTTATTTATTTATTTTAATCGCTGAATTCAGTTAATTCCTAGTTCCCTTTTTCCGTCCTTGTGGAGACGATACTCGTACTTTAGCCCTATACTGCTTAGGGGTGGGAAAAACCGAACCGAAATCCGAAAACCGACCCGAGCTCGGACCGAAAAATGTTACAGGACCGGTTAAAAAAAATGGACCGAACCCGAAATTCCGGGTCCAAATCCGGTCCCTAAAAAATACAAACCGGCCCGGACCGGCCAAAACCCGGTCCGATTATTTCATTATAATTTATTATAAAAATTAAGAAATTCTATGGAAACAAGTCCAAATACTCACTTGGTGTCTTCTTTTTTGTTTTGTTTTTTAATCCATCTTAAAGAGAGACATCAAAAAAAAAACATCATTTTGTCAGAACTTTGTTCTCTTAAGTCTTAAAGCTGAATTTTTGTTGTTGGGATTTTGCTAGTATTTATGTTTGGCTCTTCATGAGTGGTTTGGATCAATACTTTTATTGTGCTAGAAATTGAAATATCGTTGCTTTATAGCCTTTGAATTATTGATTAAATAGTTTTGCTTTGACTATAATAGAAAATGTGAAGGTTGAATCGATTTGATTGATTATCGAACATTTTTTTGAATACTTTTTTTTATTGGTCTTTGACCGACCCTACCCGAACCCGGACCGAACCCGAACCTAAAAAACCCTGGCTCGGACCGAATATGTCGGGAATTTTTCCAGTCCCATTTTTCATAACCCGAGAAGTTTCGGGTAATTTTCGGGTAGAGCAAAAACCCGACCCAGCCCGAACCGATCTCACCCCTAATACTGCTACATATTTTAAGTGCGAGAAAACTCATATCAACCCACAACCGGAAAGTTCAGATGTGCCTCCTCCACCGGTGGTTCTTCTAACTCATCGTCATCCAAATTCAATTCCTCAGGATCCCCCCTAAAGCCATCTTTTTGTATTGATTAACAATTGTTTCCACCAGACGCCGCCTACTCCTAAATGATCGGAACACTCAGCCGAACGACCCGGACTCCACCCTTCTTCCTGTAGGAGATGACCTCGTTGTTGTTGCCACCGCTAGCCTCCAACGCCTCTGTCTTGCACAACCGCTTGCCTTCAACCGATGCTGCTAAATAACGAAGAACCGCCTTCGGCGGCCGCTCCTCGACAATGTCGATAGCGGAAAAACAAACCCTAGCAGATCCTACTATATTTTTTTAAATTTTGCTCGGTTGCAAGGCTAAAAAGGAAAATATTAACGGGTCAGGATCGAAACCCGAACCAACCGATTCAGTCTCCAAATCGTTGAACCAGGACCAGGTACCCTATACACCCGATGGGTACCCACCTTTGCCCGGAATCAGAAAAATGTACCCAATCTGGTCCCACACAGTGTCAGGCCCAGTCCCGACCCAGTTAATCCCTAGGTCACCTAGGTGTGATTAGTGTTGGACTCAGGCCGAGCCGAGCCCGGTAGGCTACGGTACTAAGAAACTAAAGCATGATAGTGACCGGTTTGATCTAGGGATGGACCCAACCGGTTCAGCCCAGCCCGGAACCGGCCCGGCCCGCCACTGTGCGGGCCCGGACCAACCCGGTTGGTGCTAACTGAATCCGGGCTTTTACCCGGTTGGGGAGCGGTGAGCGGGCCAGGCTCGGGCCCAGTATTTGTTGAACCGGCCCGGGCGGTTGGGGCCGGGCCCGGGCTTTTTTTTTTAATTTTTTTGGTTTTCTTGGTTAGGGCTGGGTGTTTTTTTTTTGGGGGGGGGGGGGTTGGGGTGGGGTGAAAAGGGGGGCGGGTCGGGGGTTAGTTAGAAAGTAAAAAAAATTAACTTGACCTGGGCCCGGCCCGACCCGGTTAGGACCGGACCCGGTATCAACCCGGGCCGATTCCGAGCCCAACCATTTGAAAAAAAAAAGCCCGCCTAAGCCCGGAGCGGAACCGGAACCGGACCGGCCCGGGTCCATCCCTAATTTGGTCTGATATTGATCCCAATCCGGGCCCAAACTGTACCGGTCCGGGTCGGTCTCAAAAAAGCAAGCCCGAAGCCTGAACCGTTCTACCCACGGTACCGGTCCCAAGTTGTTCCCGGGTCAGGCCACCCGGGCCAGTCCACCCCTAGGTGTGATCCATCATCTGTGTGACCAAGATTTTGTTGGACAGGACAGTTGGATCAGTTTCCAATATGACTGTGACTACTTGTTCAGTGACCAGGAAAAAAACAGTTGGTCCCACCCAATCAGGGTCTAAAACAAGGTCAATCCCAAAACATAGGACCGGACATCAAAATGACTAATTTGGGACCAACCTATCTAAACATGCAATTTGGTTTTCCAGTTGAAGATTGGTCATATCCGACTGAAAACAACTTATGATATCAGGTCCATTTTATGATTTTCAGTTTAATTACTTGCTTTTGCAAAACAGACCGAAGCTGGACCCAAACAAATTGGAAATCCCCGCGAAAAAGACACTTTTGCACCGTAAATAGCTGTGCTTTTTGGTTGAACAATTCCAATATGCAAACCTCCAAAAAACTTATATGGAAAACAACATCCAAAAAACTTATGTGCATCATATTCATAAACAATTATCCATGACATCACAAATCTAAAACACTTTAGAAAATAAAGTAAATGTGCAAATACAAAATTTTAAATCCACTTTTGGAAGTAGACGAATTTGCATATTAAAGTTGAGAAACAAAAGTACTGTACATTAGCCCTCATCTTGGAACCAAAGAGAGCATTGGACAATCGAAGAGCAGTTTTTCCTGCTTTCTTGATAGCATTATGCGAGTATCAAACGAAGAATATCTCCTGACAGTTTGAATGACTTCTGGGTCTCCTCCAAACAGTGGTTCTTCTGCTCTCTTGTCCAACTCTTTGTAAAGGGTTACATAAAAATGACTCATGAGGTTAATAATTCTGACACAAAGGTGTTTCTCCTTTTGGTCCTACGACTATCAAGTCATTCTAGTTTTAGTCCTCGATTTTCATTTTTTCACATGCGGCCCAAGAATACGGATTTCCTGTCACTTTTGATCCTTGCAATCACTTGTCCGAGCAACTTGCGCTTGATTTTCACTAGACAAGTGACCATGAAGGATCAAAAGTGGCAAGAATCCATATTTGTTCATCAAAAGTGGAAAACTGAAAGCCATGAACCTGAGTGAGAATGGCCTAATAGTCATGTGATCAAAAGTGAAAAAGATTCTTCCCATAATTGAACCGAAAATATTTCAATAAAAATTCATTGAAGGGCATCAAGAAAATTACCTCAGAAACTTTATTAAGCTTCTCCCTGACATTCTGCAGCAGTTGAGAAATGTCACCATCCCATTTGTAAAACTCCAGCTCTTTCTTGTTGAGTATTTTTTCTGCTACCTGAATAATGAGAGAGATTCTAATGGCCTAGCTAATAGTATTGCATTTCCGATTTTACATACATTTCTAATAAATAAATATTAATGCCACCATCAAAAGTAAAAAGTGTCTTTTTTGTAATAATACCAAGGTTTTCTTCTGTGGTTTAAATGGCAAGTTTACCGAAAGTGAAACTGTATGATTATTTTTTTATATAAACAGTAGAAAAACAATATCAACCACTAATCTTTCCCTAAAAAATGAAGTGTGAAGAAAAATTGGGTACATCCGAAAAAGAAAAAGTGGAAAGAAAAATATGGGACTGTGGGAGTAATTAATTCAGTATTAAACATAGCCGTCTTCGGAAAATCTCGGGGATGAGTATGTAACACAGAAAGTCTTCGGAAATTCTTCAAACAGTTATTTTTCAACTCCATATTAAACAATAGTGTTTCCCGTTTTGTTTCCCATGATTCCCACATTTCCGAGCAACATAGCCGTCAACTCTTTTTATCACGAAGAGAGTATTACATACGTAGTATTGCCTAATATAGAGTATATTTCTATAATTCTACATTTACAGAAAAGATCCCAAATATATAAGTAATGTTATCAAGTTATACACCCTCCCTCCAGCACTTGTTTTAAAAGGTTTTACATCCTAGAAAAGAATCTTTTTCAGAAAAAGCTTACAGACAAGTGCAATGTCATAAATTTAGTTAAACCAAAAAAATAACTATTAGAAAATAAGAACTCAATGAATATTAATAGTTCTACCTTGCTAGAACAAAAAAAGTTTAACCTAACTAGACAAGACTCTGTTGAATAGTGTATTATTCAGTTGGATAATGCTTAATACTTTATCTTTTGTTGTTAAGAATAGGAAAAATCACGGGAGTCATCTCGAGCCGAGCATCAATCTTGGCTCAGTTCCGGCTTAGATCACTTGCACCCCTAAGGTAACCAATTGTGTGACACCTGGAAAATGAAATTTAAAACCTTAGAAAAAAGTCAGACCTTTTTCCCAATCATGCGGCCCCCAGCTGTGTGGGCAAAATATATGTTGTAGAAGTGACAAAGGAACGCTTGTGGATCGCCCACCGATAGCTCTTTAAGATATCGGGCATAACTGAGGCCGGGTTCTGATGGTTCTGGGATGGAGTGGCCTTGCTGCTTAAACCATTCCAAATCTTTTTCCAGACTCTCTGACCTTTCCAGACCAGTATTCCTAAATTCAGCATCTGCAATCCCAAAATAAAATGAAATCCCGGTCAAATAATTTATTTATAAGCAATAAATTTCAGAGGACCCAATGATCTGACTTGTGTTGTATGAATGTTGTGAAATTTATAACTAAAAAGGTATTGCAAAAATGATAATTTTATATTGAAAAGGAAGCAGCAAAGGCAGTAAATTGATATGGGCATACCAAGTGCTACTCACGCTAAGGCAGCAAAGATTCATAATAGTATTATGTTTTTATTCGTTCCCTATTAGGAAACCTTTTTCCATCATTTTCAATGGAGCCAAAGATTCATTATTTTTTTGCTTGGGAATATGATGGAAGAAAGCAAAATGCCCTTCTTTATTGTGAAGCAAGTAAGCAACAGTCAGCCCATTGCAATTTTCGATGCGACTTTCATCATGAGTCATCCAAAAACGGACTTTATGTGCTGTAGTACAGGGTAAGGCTGCGTACATCTGACCCCCCCTTACCCCACCGTAGGTGGGAGCCTTTGCAGCACTGAGGTAATATTGTTGTTGTTGTTCCCTTTTAGAAAACCTTGTTTTATGTATGAATTCATAGAGTGTGTAATGAATTTTCAGCTTGTATTAATTTACAGAATGTAATGGATTTTCAATGAGTTTATACATTTTCTTGTGTGTTCATATAGTTTATACTTCTGTGGGCGAGTAGTCCTCTATGGCTCTATCTTCATTGCTTACATTCTCCTTCTTTCAGCCCTGCCCATAACATAATCCTTTGCTGGTTACTCTTTTCAAAATTATAGTGACTTGTTGAAACACAAGCTGCTATCAAAACTTATATTATAGTCACAGTGACTTGGTTAGGCTTTATCCACTGATAGGAACCCATTAGTATAATAATACTAATAATAATAGAAGTATATTAAATAATTGTGATAGTGTATTAAAGGGTGCTGGGCCAGGTATTAGTTAGTTTTGGGCTGGCCCATAAGTAAGTATAAATAGAAGGGAGGGAGAAATAAGAAAGGGGGGATTTTAGAATTGGGAAATTGGGATCTGGGAGAGTTGAGGCCTCTCGAAGCGCCTCGTCTGTATCATCTTCTTCCTTTCTACTATTGTGCGATCAATTTACTGTTACAAAATTAGAGTTCCTAACATTTGGTATCAGAGCAGTCCGATCCTGCGGACTGTGTATGAGATTGACGCGATAAAAAATGGAACATCAAGTGGAAAATCTAGAGCAAAAAGTGAACAACATCGAGCAGAAACGCAACTGCACAGAGGTGCGATCCATTGCAGACAAGTTGGATGGGGTGATGGCCGAGCTGAGACTTATCGCGAGGAAAAAGAATCATCGCAAATCCACTGGTAGGTCGCGAAATGACAGGCGATCAAATTCCCTTAATTCGTCAGATTTGCTGCAATCAGAAGTCTCAAGTTCGCAGTCAGGAACGGTTCTTCTCAGTTCACCATCGCAAACTGTTTCTCCTTGTTCGCAGGTCTTTTCATCCTCATCGCGAGCAGATGCTGTCTATTCGCATGTTTCCTCATTTGCAGATTCTGTCCCTATCTGTTCGCAGAGTGTGACGCAATCAGGTGGAGATTCCAAATGGCGGCGATATCCCTATGTGAGCCCTAGAACGACGCGAGAGAGAAGAGATACCCTCAGTTCGCAGGCTACATCGTATGAGGAGGATATGTCCAGTAACAGAAATCATATATGTCCAGGAAGGGAGATTACTCTGCATATATCAAAGTGCGATTATCAATTGGTCCCTGAGAACATTATTAAAACTGGTATATGGATTATTGAAAAGCCAGGAAAGGAAAATGTGTCCATGCTAATACCAAATTCTCAAAAATACTTGAACAGAAAGGAATCCGAGGAAGAGAGATATGCATTGGTGGTAGCCTCTATGAGATGGAAGGATTATGAGATGCTTAAAGGCAAATTCATGAATGGATTAAAGGAAGAGATTAGAGTTGAGTTGAAACCATTGCATTCTAGGATTCTGGCAGAGATAAGGTACAGGGCACTGGTTTTAGGAGTAAATCTTGAAGAAGCTGGTATACACATGGATGGCAGTGACGTAGTTTGGCCACCATGGAGAAGTAAAAGTGTTTCAGGATATCAGTTAACACAGCCTCGGACCGAAGCATTAATGCAAGATCACTTAACGACAAGGTCACAGACAACTCATGAGCAGGAGCATCCAGATGCTTCCTTTCTTCTACAACCTTCTGAAATGTTGAACAGTCCCTCACAGAAAGCATCTCTCAGTTTTTGATCCACAATCTTCAGGTAGAAGTCAACACATTCTATAAACATTTTGCTGCCTGTGATATATTATCTGAGGTGAAGGCCACCGTATCTGAGGTGAAGGGCATGGAGAGCATTAGTACTAGTGCAACAACCACAGATCAAGACTCTTACACTGATTCTTGGAGTGTTGCTATTGGGAACGAATCTGTCCCATTTCACTATTGCATGATTGGCAGCAGCTCGGGCTCTGAGGAAACAAGATTTCACTTGATCATTGAAACCAAAACTGAAGTCCCGGCAGGTGGAATCTCATATGAAAGTGGGGAAGGATTTACTTTGCTCTGGACAAGAGATGGACACATTATTTTAATGGATAACAGTTCCGGCAGTATGATCAGGTCTCAGCCAGGGTATTCAGAGAAAGACACAGCCCATTCTGTATTTTCAAAGGTGTTTACTGTACTCCTAGAGCTGTGGAGTTCTCACCATTCACCTATTGAGTATGGAGTTGGAGGTGTGCAACCCCTGAACTACCCGTTAATGCTCGAACACCTACTATTAAAAGAAGAGGATTTACAGAAGCAGGAAAAAGGTTCTGCTAGGGCCATGCGAGTTTATATGCTGTGATGCACGGGGCTGTCCTACAGGTGAAAATGAGTGAGCACCTTGAAACCGAGAAGAAGTTGTTCAAAGCTAAGAAGGAAGATAGTCTATTTCAGAAGTTGAAATGGCCTAAAGATGTGCAGTTGAAAGTTCTCATGCTTCAAGCTTATTTAGAAAGGGTAGCTACTGGAGATGATGAAGCTACAAATTCAAGGAGCTTGGCAAAAGAGTTCCTCTCACTGGGTTTCATTCCTGAAGGAGCTAACATAAAATCAGTTGCAAACGCCCTGCTAAAATCAGGTGGAACCAGCTCGAAAGACTGATGATAGCCATATCCAAACAGATAAGTGCGGAAGGTGGAGTAACCCAACATAGAGACTCAAATCCACTTGAGCTTTCTTTTGATATGCGTACAGATGAAGTTCTGTATGAGTTCAGAGAGGAGCATCCTTCAAGGGATAGGTTGAAAGCTGAGAGACATGCAATATTGTTGGAGGACCAGGGCACTCAATCTAGGGGACTAGCAGTGACACTACTGAAGCTCATGATGCAGCAATCAGGGAGGTACTGGGAAGGAAGAGGCGCAAGGATGAAGATAAAGCTGAAAGTCCAGGCTGGTTCCTATCACCCACCTTGAGGACAATGTGGTTGTCTAAGGGGGGAGATATGATAGGAACCCATTAGTATAATAATACTAATAATAATAGAAGTATATTAAATAATTGTGATAGTGTATTAAAGGGTCCTGGGCCAGGTATTATTTAGTTTTGGGCTGGCCCATAAGTAAGTATAAATAGAAGGGAGGGAGAACTAAGAAAGGGGGGATTTTAGAATTGGGAAATTGGGATCTGGGAGAGTTGAGGCCTCTCGAAGCGCCTCGTCTGTATCGTCTTCTTCCTTTCTACTATTGTACGATTAATTTACTGTTACAAAATTAGAGTTCCTAACATCCACTCACATTCTCCATGCGGCTAATATTCAAACACAACTTATAATGAAGTATTCTATGCTTTGTCCGAGACTCATACAGCTCAATTAATCAATTTTATTGTCCAACTAGTGCATATAATCAGACACTGGCTGCATTTGTTACTAGTGACAAGTGTCAACATGAATTGGGTCTGCTAATTAATAGTTTTGAGTGGAAAAAATCACAATCAGAAATGTAGTGACCAATCACAATCCTAAATACTTAAAATAGAAATGACTGGCAAATTTTGGAATTGCAAACTAAAAGGAGAAATCCATCCACAAATGTTAAGACTGTGGGACTTTAACAACAAACACACACAAACATAAAACTAAACACACATGACTAAAACACAACATGAAAAATGGCAAATTTTAGCTTTTAGAGCCCTTCTGTACCTTTTTTATCATGAACCCTATCAACCAGATTTTCTACCATGCACATTTATGTGATTGAATTAGCTATATCGGCTCATAAAAAAGTGGTTCAAAATTTAAAAGAAACTTATTTGGAAAAGTGAATTTTGAAGGTCAACAAAGAAAGGAATATTGTAAAAGGAACCCATTTTGGTGCTTTTGCTTTGTCAACAGCACTTTTAACATTTTGAAAGGCCAAAAGCTAAAATTGATTATTTTCAATATAGTCAAGTCATTTATGTTCTAATATAAGCATCAAAATATTGCTTTTAAAATCTAGAAGCAATTCTTTTACCTGTTCCAAAGTTCATAATACTTTTTAAATGTAATTTAACATATGTTTTAAATATATATATTTGCATAATTCATTCAAATAAGCTCTTTCATCTATTCCCACCATATTAAAAAATGCAATACTTTCAACAAGTTTTCCATATGAGCTCTTAGACCCAAAGAGACGGGATCAATGGACCACTCACCACTGGTAAAATTATTGAATAGAGGGAACCATATTCATCATCTGTTACAAACGTGACACAAACAGAGGTTAACCTAGTCCGTTTTCCAACATCGTACTATCGTAGTTAGAAAACAAAACCTAGTTTATGTATCTAATCTAACAATAGATGGGAAACCGTCTGAAAACGTATTAGCATCTATACCAACAAAACAAATGACAAAGAACTCATGCAAAAAACAGCAAAACCATCACGTCCATCAGCATGCGAGTCTAGCGGTATACCTTACATAGATCAATTGAATAAAGGAAGGAAAATAAAAAATATTAATAAAAAACTGAACGAAACTCACAATCAGGAAAAGGAGCATTCCCCACGATCTTCTCAAGAGTATCATAAACCAATTTGCTGTCCACTAAGAACTTCAAATACCCTTCAACACTTGGCTCCCATTTAGCCACAGGCTGACCTTCAGGCTCCTTTTCCCCTTCCTTAGCCTGGTCCCTTGTATGGTGCTTCATAGCCACAAACCTCATCTCTTCAACAAACCCCTTAGTCTCCCCAGGGTACCTCTTATTCGGCTTCTCAGCCGCCATTGTTGCAGAAACCACCCCCATCTTTGATTTCCTCAACGAAAGGTTCGAACTTTGACGGTTTCTTGAAATGGGTATTTGGAGAAATCCAGGTTGAGGGTTCTTGAGAGACGTGAGTTGAGCATTAAAAAGAAAAATCTGGGCTTTGGATAAGGGTGTTGTTATGGAAGATGACATTGCTATGAGATGACTGTTAAACACGGGAAACCCCTTATAAGATTGAAGAAAGATACCCAAACTCAATTCCAATTCTTGAAGGCAAAGATGTGTTTATCGATCGAGTAAACGCGAACGAAATTGATCGAGGAAAGACAATCGCTTCTGGAGGTACTGCTGATGGTATAGCTTTGCAGTGAATTATTGCTGGGAGCCGTAGTGTGTGTTCCCTCCACGGATAAGCTTCTTCATTACTTTAATAAAGAGGTGACCCAATGGCCAATTAGGCAGTTAGGTACCTTCCCGAATGCACAGTTGATAAATTATAGGGTCCATCCGGATGTCCGGATATTTTTGAGATTAATTACGACTCCAATGGTAAAGGTTTTCTCAGTTGTGCTGCTCGTTAATGTCTAGGAGTTGGAGGCATTGATCGATGTTGCTCGCTTGTTCAAATCTTGGAGTTCCGATGGATGTTGTTCGCCTGCTGCTTTCCTGGAGTTCCGCTGAAGGAATAATAGAAAGAACACCAAAAGAACTCCCACTCGAGTTTTGGGAGTTGTCTACGCTGCTCAAAGTCTTGAATTGAGCTACGTAATTTAGTTATGGAATCCCAAAAGACAAATTACAACTTCTAATTTAATATTGTATTTTAATATTATATTTTAACATTGTGTGTTAATATTTTACAATTTCTCATTTCGTAATTTATGTGTGCTCATTTGAAATTGGTGTAATACTCATTTTAAAATGACATATTCATGCATCTCTCAAACATATTATACTACATTAGATTCACATTAAAAATGAGTTTTATGTTAAATTCAAATGAGCATAACGTTCAAAATGAATAAGCACACAAAAATGCGTTTTTAAATTTTTTGATACTCATTTCGTAAGTTATGTATGCTCATTTGGTAATAATGGTATGCTCATTTTAAAATGGCATATCAATAATGCATATTTTAAAATTATTATACTACATTAAATTCGCAGATGCTCAATAAAATAGGTCGGATGCTCATTAAAAGTACATTATTGCTCATTTAGCGGAAGTCGTCCGTTTTCGCTTAAATTACAAAAATGCCACCGAATTCTTTTTTCGCCTGAATCAGTTACTGAGTTGTCTTCCTTAGTTGGGCCGGGTGTACGTACATCCGGATGTACCAAATAGGCACTGCTGATAGTTCACACATTAAAACTTTACATGTAAAGTTTAGGACGGTAAAATAATTTGCATGTAAAATATAGATACATCGTTTAGCTATACGTGTAATCTATTTTTTAATTACACACAAATTCTATACATTATTTATTTGGAAAATAACTTCACATGTAAAATATTTAGAAAAAGGACCGCATAACTTATTGAAAAATTAAGGCAAAAGGTGCAAATAAGCACTCGAACTAACCGAAATCACCCCTTTTATAGGAGGTTCTGTCTAGCCGTCGTAATTTGGGGAGGTTCCCGGTCGAATATTTTGATGAATTTTTTTGAGCATCTTCTTCATTACGTCTAGTTTACTCATACCAAATTTCAACTAAAAATTCAACCGGGAAGACAGTCAAATGTTTTTCTGAAATATACTGCACTATTTAATTGCGTAGTTATCTTCAAACAATTATTTGACTGCCTTCCCGATTGCATTTTTAGCTGAAATTTGGTATGAGTAAACTAGACTTAATGAAGAAGATACTCAAAACAATTCATCAAAAAATTCTACTGTTAACCACCTCAAATGGCGACGGCCGGACAGAGCCTCCTATAAAAGGGGTGATTTGCACTTTTTCGATTAGTTCGGGGACTTGTTTGCTCCTTTTCCAAAAAATTAAAGATGCGTATGAAACGGCTAGACGAGAGAGTGGGTGCAACGAAGAAATCACTAAAAATTTGTTGGACTTTATTTAAATAAATATCAGCCGCTCTCTTCCTCAAAATTATGCATTTATAAGGAACCAAAAACACAGGGATATATATATATATATATATATATATATATATATATATATATATATATATATATATATATATATATATATATATGGGTTGGTTCCTGTGAGAAAGAAGCCTCAGGAGAGAAAAAAGAACAAAAACTAACCTTTGATTAATTGAATCGGATGGTTATTTTTTAATCCTAGTTGTCTCTTTCCTTCACTATTGGTGCCTAACGTGTATGTTAAAAATGGAAAGAGTGCAACCATATAATCAATTAAGGGTACAAAGGTAAACTTCATGGTGGTTGACGTGGGAAAATAAACCACTAAATTAGGAAGTCTTCCTAAAAACTAGGTTGACTAATAACTACTCATTAATTGATCATTCTCTATTAAATGCTTCTGAATTCCTTTCCGTTTAGCATTCTGTAGCACAAAACTCGGATAAATAATTTATAAAATCTTTATCCAAATTTGTGCATTAACTTTGACTCAAAAGTAACAATTGTTGTTGCAATTTTATTAGATTGAGATGCACATTTATTCCTAACATCGTGCACTTCTTAAATAATTGAAGAAGAAAGTCATATATTATTAAATGTGCATTATTAAAAGAATATAGGTGCATTATGTTTAAAAGTATTGCGATTAGCGTGTGATGCACATTTTGTGTTAAAATGATGCAAATACACTATGCACAATTATCGATAACACGATGCACATCAACATCCTCACAAGCTTTGTGTGATGAAATGTTACGTCTAAAACCTACAAAGTGATTCATTCTACCCATTAAATTGCACATTATTATTTAATATTCTCAATAACATTCTCATGTAGATCTTAATTAATAATGCAATTTTACCCTCATGCATGTGTACAATAAAATGGTGCACTATATCATATTTGCTATGGTGCTAATATGATTTCTGAAGTGCATTCAAAATTAGGAATTGTGCACAACGGGATCTTCACGTTGCATTCAAAACTAAGAATTGCGCACAACGTTAGGTGTGGTTTTGTTGAGAATGTAGCCACACATGATGACATTTTCTTTGTCATTGGAGCAACACCATCTGATTTAAATTTAATTCAGGTACTTATTTCATCTGCCGTTGAATTAATGTTTCAATGCATAATGGTATTGTGTACATGACGATTCTTGCACCTCTAGCTACAATATACTTGTGGAAGATTTAGATCATAAAAGTCATCTCCCTTGAATACTGTGTGATTAAGAGGAAATTCAAGATTGTGCAAACATACTAAAATCCATGGAGAAATCATTTCTCATTGTTGAAGAAATCAAGGAAAGACAGAAAAAGGAAAAGAGAATGTCATAAGTTTTTATGAAAAAGATGGAGGGGTTCTCTAGTGGAGTTTTGATTAAGAAGGAAGAAGATGAGTCACGATGGAATCAATCCATGAAATAATAACGTAAACAAGCTAAAATTTTGGGATTGAAATTATGGAAAGAATCGGTGCTCATTAATAGATAAAGAAAATCTCTGGTTTGCCCTCAATTGAAAGAGAAACGCACGAACGATGAAAACCTAATCCAATGGTTGATATATATTCTTTTTTACTCTCCTAAGATTAAATTCTCACGTGATCCTAAATATATATATATATATAGACTACGTGTGTATATAATATATATATATATATATATATATATATATATATATATATATATATATATATATATATATATATATACACTCCCTCCATCTCAAAAAGATTGATACATTTTGACTTTTCTTGGTAAATGATGGTTAAGTTTGACTAATGATATCTTTTAATACAAAATTATTTAAAATATGAAAATTATATGAACATATTCTTTATAAAAAAATCTTACATAAAAGTATAAAATTTATAAATTACAAACAAATAGAATACCTAAAATCATTGTCTAAACTTTACCACCATTGACCACAAAAATCAAAATGTATCAATCTTTTTGGGACGGATGTAGTATTATATATATAATATAGAATATATAAAATAAACTAGGGTATTACAGCTCCTGGAACGTGCACACAGTGCCACTAAAGATGGAAAAGAGAATTGATTATGGTGAGACACTAAGATTTGATGATGGTTGATGAATTTTTTTACTAGGCATTGACACCGAGATTCCATACTCCAGACGTAAAATAGTTTATCTCCCTTCCTCCACATAAAATATTTTACATGATATAGTGTAAAATAGTTTATCAAACGGTGTAAAATGTTTGCTTCTTCACACTTTGCACGTAAAGTGTTTACTTTACATCATACCAAACGGTCCCTTAAATTCTATGTAGTAGTAAGTATGTTGTTTCAAACCGTACAAGTCATATTATGGGAAACACAAGCACTTTTAATCACACGCATGATAAATTTCTCTATACTCATCGAGTCTATATCTTATGCTCCAAATTCATACTCTTCTGGTCTCAGAATTTGGTCGGGTAGACCCATTCTATATGTGATTGATAAGAACCCAACTCCAATTTTTCTATCTTAAAAAACAAGACCTCTAACCTACAAAATATATATTTTTCTAAATTTTTACTAAAATAAAATATGTGAACAAAAATGTAACTAAAGTGACCATAGATATTTTTTCAGAACCACTATGATAAAGTTGAACGCAACTATGTTTTCTAAAAATTATTAGTCATAAATTTATCAGCTATATTTATTTTGATCGTATACGACGGAGTAAAAGATATTATTATATCTACAAAATACATGGATATAAATACTTTTCTGAAAACAAAAACTATTACTCGTTCATAGCCGTAAATAACAATGAAGTAATATAATGACTAACATGTAGAGCCCATTATTTTTATGTTCTTTATAGGGATTTAACTTACACTACTACAGGAAGAAGCTATTACGTCACACATATCACGACTGTTCTGTTACAACTGACGTTGTAGTGTTGTATATAAGCTTCTACGTCGGTTGATTTTAGAGACCGTCGTTATATGTATTCCATTCCTACCATGATTTAACTTTACTCGTCGGATTTAATGTGGACAGACGTCATTTGTCATTAAAAAATGACAACCAAAATAACATGTTCCAGTTGAATAACCTTATAACCCGTTTAACCCTAGAGCAATACAGAGAATAAAATGCACACCACCTTCAAGCCGTCTGCAGCAATCGACGCCTAGATGGAACTGAAGTAAAATCGCGGATGATGGCACACAAACTCTCAGGCACGAGAAAATAAAGAATGCTCTGTAATTGCAAACAACTTTAGTCGGAAGACCGGCAACTACTTCGAGAATTTCTGTTAGCGGCGTCAAAATTCCAACCGCAGAAAACATAGACTCATCTCACAGTTG